ATTTGAGGTCTTCCTTTATTTGTTTTATTTTGCCATGTAATCCTTTTGTCTTTTTGTCCGATGTTATGACCAGCGAATTTCCATTTCATCTTCGCTACCTCCTCTCTAACATCTCTCACTTTCGTTTTATTTAGTATACATTCTTGTTTTTGCTATCTATCAGTTTTACACCTAATAGTTTTCTTTTCATTGGTGTTGTGCATTCGCTACTTTCTTGACATTTAAGTGTTCATTTTTAGGATCCGATGATGAAGACAGCAATACGCACGGTTTGTACACTATGGTTTTTAGGTATTGTGAATATCTTTTATTATTTAGGAAGAAGCTCATGTTTCGAAATGTTGTCCATGTCAATTCGTGTCTTGTTGTTTGGTTATTTCTTTGTTAAGTTTAACAGCGATGGTTACAATTTTAGTTGTATATATATATATATATATATATATATATATATATATATATATATATATATATATATATATATATATATATATATATATATATCGGTTCGATCAGGATCAGAGATATATGGTCACTTGTACAGAATCCCTTTCGGTAACGGGTTTGCTTTCTCCATTGGTTTGGATCGAATTTTCTTGTAATACTTTTGTAAGGAATTAAATTACATTCACGAGTATTATAAGTTGATGATTTTTTGGATCTTCATTACCTTTCGTGTGCGGTTCATAATTCTCTGCTAAATTCAAGTTAATCCTAAATGCGTTAGATCACTAATTCAAAAACTGTCATTTGTGTTGTGTGCTTGTTTTTGAAATATTTATCAAAAATTATTGGAGTTTCCTATTATAGCAGTTTTAAATGAATGAAAGACTAATATGAATTTTGGTGTCCAGAACTATTTTGCAAAACTTCATGATTAGGGTCCTAATATACCTATGGGCAAAATAACTAAACTACAGAGGATCAAAACTAACCAAAAAGAATAACACTATATAGATGTCAAGGATTTAACTGCAACCCCTCACATAACAGCTACAAATTTAAGCTCAGCTGATCTAACTAAATAATCGTTTCCATGAATTGCTACTTCACCTTTGCTCTTCTGTGAATACGCTCACCGATTCCAACATTGATAAGTTTATTATAATTAAACGAAGAAATGGTATTAGAACCATATCACCGCATGAGATAGGACAACCCATTTTCAAATATATAAACTGTGCTTCCATCATTTTTTGTATATATTTTGAAAAAATATTTTTGTTGTTTTCATTCTTTATTTTAAACTTTCTTTTTTTATTTTTGCTCAAATTTTTTAAAAAGTTGATTTACAGATGACAATTATATATTCCTAGTGGCCGCCGTTTTTTACAAATTCATAAAACCAGGAAGCGTTTCTACTTGGCAACACCGCAAACAACTCAAAACCACCCCCACATGCCCATTAAATATAAATTTTCGTGAGAAATTGGTTAGTGGGCAACTTGGTCTGTAATGTCAGTTAATTGTCATGGAAAACGGCGAAACACCCACAATTATTGTTTTCAAATGGGCCGTTCGTAATAAACGGTTCGTTAATTTTAGGGGCTTTTTTGTTTTGTGGTCACGACCAGTTTTGTAATGGGTCGGTATTGCTATTTTTAAAAATATCCATAGGTACATGGATAGCATTTTTAGTATCTCAATCGAAATAGAAGCATTCTTACTTGCTAATTTTATATCACGTTTTGTTTTATCTAGATTTTGAACAAGAATGTCATCTTGCTTTTCGATATAAACAAATCGCTGTAGCTTTTTATCTCACTCAACAGATCTTTCTGTTGCGAATTCAACAACACTTTGAACAATATTTTTTTAAATATAAACAGATGTGACTCTTGACCGGAAAGTCAAAAACGTGAAACGGTTGCATCGGTGAGCTATCCCTTTACGCAACGCCATTTTGGTTTTTGATGTCATAAACAATATAAATTTTTGTTTCTCTGAAGAAATAACTTTCTGAACACAAAAATTTTCCTACAACTCTCTTGTGGTCAAAAAGCTTAAAATTAATTAAAATTTCAAATTAGCAAGCACGTAAGCTTCATTTTTGGGGTGATTTTCTACTATCAACGGTCGAAGTGGCAGAATTGATACTTTAATACTTTTGAATTCAAAACTGAGAGATCAGTTTAGAGGAAAAAAAAACAGGATTCGGGTTACTTAGAAAATGATGACGTCGTATATTTGATATTTAACAGATGTACTTGTTCTGAGTCCTCTCCATATAGACTAACCAAAACTTCCACAGGCTACTGTAATGATATTTATAAATCTTCTGGATTCCTCCTGCATCGGTTGTTGTTGAATCGAATCAACATGACTTTAAAATTTCTGTCTCTATCCCTTCGACCTATTGTCAGCACCACTTGTTCACCAAAATATTTCCTGGAAAAATATCTAGCTTCTTTATTAAAATCCTCTACAGGAAAAACTGATAGTTTTGTACGTAATTCCTTTCACTACATTGAAAAATTAAAAAGCATTACATTAGATACACAACATGTTCTGGTTAGTTTCTAAGTAGAATCCCTCTTACGTTAATTGAAAAATGTTTCTCTGGAACCTATTTGTCTTATAACGGTCAAATTTTTGAACAATCTCCATTATATTCAGTCATCGCGAATATATTTATAGTCTTTGAGCAGAAAGCTCTCGGCACCTTCTATCTAAGACCAAAATTATCTCATGGTCAAAAATCCCTAATAGATTTTCTTAGACATTTAAATTCTATACACTAAATATAACCTCTAAAATAATAATAACCTCCCATTCTTAGATATTCTTATCAATAGAAAATCAGAACATTAGGTCATTGTGTTTACCGAAAACCTACGCACACAGACCAATGTATAGCCCAAAAATCATCTCTTACAAACTCTCTTGTTTACAGAGCCGTAAAACTATCTCACCCCGAGTCACTGAAGCCAGAATTAAAAACCTTACCTCTGCTCTTCTGCCTAATAAATTCCACATTAAAGATATTAAGCGTTCCATCAGAAAATACACTTCACCACAACCTTCCAATAGCAATGAGCCTGAAAGCAATCCCACACTTGCCACTGTTGTCCTTCCTTACATTCAAAACATCTCTCACCACATATCCAAAGTTCTAAAGAAATATAACGTCAAAACCAGATTTACGACTTATCCAACAATCTCTCAACATCTTCGATCCGTCACCAACAAAATTCTATTTGAGTTGCCAGGAGTTTACAGCATTCCATACACATGCGGCAAAAATACCAACTAGGCTCAAAGACCAATGAAAGAGCCTTAAGAGTAAGTCAAATGAACTCATCAGCAGTTGCCGAACACAATCACGAAACCGGACATAAAATTTAATTCGATAATACTAAAATTGTTGCATGTAATCAATTCTTCTGGCAACGAAAAATCCAAGAGTCTATAGAAAATCTATAAGCAAACCTAACAATTTTAACGGCGACTTATGTCTTTACTCGTCACCAATATGGGAATCAGTCATCCCGCGAACAATATATAAGCAGGTACAGAGTAAAATGCGAGCCAGTTTCAGTTAAACTCTGAAGAAGCCAATAGGATGATAGGCGAAACGTTAGCAAGTTTGAATGAACAACAACCGAGCAGGAGGAATCCAGAAGTTTTGTAAATAGCATTCTGGGTCGTTGAAACCTCTTTGAATTTTAAATATAGTAGTTAAGGAAGATTATACTTCTTATACTACATTTTTGGGATGATTAAATCATTGCAATAATTATTCTCGAGGACTTGTCATCGATCTGTTATAGGAAATCCCTAACAAGCAAAAATTTGAAAATATAGGTCAATGTGGGTCTCCTTAATTACAATTAACATTATTATAATTCATATTATCAGTATCTAAACATTAACACTAATTATTAATAGAAGTTACTTATTTTATTATATTAATTGCAACGTCAAAATTCACTTGCAAAGAAAAATATATAAATGAAAATATTTCAAAAATTGTATATGTTTATACAAACCTTGTACAAAGTGACTCTAATTTTTAGTTCTCAATGAAAAAAAAATCACCTATTTTTGAATATGTTTTTGATTGTTTTTTTTTATCAACCACGTAAACGGTAAGGCTTTGGTTAAGACTATATTTTGCATCTGTGTGTTCACATTCACTTATTGATTTTTCCACATTTGTTTACTATTTTTTAAGTTTAAAGTCATGTTTGATGCGGATTTCTTGTTATAGAGTTATAATTTATTAAAAACGATAAATAATTGAATTGAATTCAATTAAACTGAGGAATTGAAATAAAAAATAAAATATATTGATTGTTGCATTTAAAATAAGTAAGCTGACACCTCCTGCATAGCCGCAAATGTCATGAAATTATATTAAACGAATGATATTTACGAACATCAAAAAATTATAAGAAAATTTATGAAATAAAAAAAAAAGTTCCGTTAAATATGTATCTCAATTGTTTTAAATAATATTCTTCAGAATATTTAATGAGAACAAAAAAAAGTGTTTTTAAGTAATGCAAATATTTAACTTTTGACACAGTAGGGATTGTTTTTTTTTTAATAATAACGACGTAAATTCTGAGCGTCAATCATGTTCGCGTGCTTTCCGTAGAGCGAGAGCGAATAATTCCCTTCGCATCAGCCATCGACCCACTGTAACCACGCTTTTAAAAATAAAAAATTATAAAATTTTTAAAAGTGCTTTCTGTGCCATCTGTCCAACAGCAGCCGAAACACTCACACATGTGTACGTCGCGCTTGCTGAAGGTCTCAACCTGGCCGGATTCTTTTTAAAGTTTTTTTCTGGTAGAAGCGAACTCTGCCGACGATTTTCGGAGATTGAAAACACATTTTTTTCGGCCCATTGCTGTTATTTTGTAGGCAAAAAATCATTTTTATTGCAAGACGTTTCCTGTTGAAAATGCCTTTACGTAATTTAAGTTAAATTGTAAAATTTGTCAAGTCCTTGATCGTGGAACGAATTTTAACTAAATAACAAGAGAAAAAAGTTACAGGTTCCACCGAGATTTGAACTCGGATCGCTGGATTCAAAGTCCAGAGTGCTAACCATTACACCATGGAACCAGTTATGCAACAACATTTGGGATATGCTATAAACATCGATCGATTGATTACTTTTAAAATTTTAGTGTTCAAATTTATTTTGAAAAGTATTTTTTAAAAAAAATAATATTTTGTGTCCGTAATTTACTCGCACATCTATTAATCAACAAATGAAAGTATTGTATATTTACTTCAAAGCATAAATGAGAACTAAATATTTAACGGCCATATGGGGAATGTGCATCCAAACAAATTTCAATAAAATGCAATCCTTACAACACAAAATTTTAAAGATATTATATAATTATGATAGGCTAACAATGCAAATATCTTGTATAGAGAATTACTTACGAATGCATAAATTCAAAGAAATACTTCAAATTGAGCAGTGTAAAATTATATGTAATATTATGAATGAACACAAAAAATACATATTTAATAATTACTAATCAGGTTTATAACTATGAAACTAGAATAATAAATGCTATATACCAAATTAATATCAGAACCAACATTTTAACTCACTACTTGTAAATTTTAAATGTCAAAAAGTTACAATATTTTCAATAGACAATAAAAAGAATATTTTTTGACTTTTATTTGTTTTAATTGATGTTAATTTGTTATTAGTTAACCTGTAAAAAATTGTAATTTAATTATATAAGGAAATAAAGTAAAAAAATATATCCAAATTACTAGAGAAACTATTTATTTATTGCTGTTAATACCTATTAAATTGTTAGGAGATACAAATTAATATGTAGCAAAATGGGAAAAATAAACATTATTTTCTAAAGGCGTCATCATTTTATTTAAAATTAAATTAAAAAATAATGATAACAGTAATTAACGTAATTGAATTGCGTCAGATCAATAATCAAAAATTTATTTTTGGATTTGTTTTTCAGATGGTTGTTGGCTATGTGCGTTTTAAATATGTTAACAGTTTTACTACATATTATTACAATTACCTGAAGAGACAAATCCCATTCGAAAAACAACACGAAATGGGCTAGACCTACATTTACTTAAAAAAAAATGCCAGGTCCCACCGAGATTTGAACTCGGATCGCTGGATTCAGAGTCCAGAGTGCTAACCATTACACCATGGAACCGTTGATCTTTAAAGGTTTTCCCGTACGAGACACCGCGCCTTATTAATATTTTAATCGATATCCCTGTTTTGGGCTAAATATTTTATGTTAATCGCGAAACAGTATGAATTACATTATTATTATTGACATGTTGTGAAGCTTGCAGCAATTGCAATTTAAAAAAAAAAAAAACTCAATATCTCCAAGTTTATGTAAAGATTTCAATTTTATTTACAAATTGATTAATATGAATATATTTGAATAAGGTAAGAAACTCGATTTTTACAGAAAACATAAGGGTAAAATCGCGCATGGATATCTAGCACCGTTTTAGAGTTATAGTGTATTTTTTTAAAACGGGCATTTTTTAAAACTCGTTTTTTATGAGAACAACTCTATACACTAAATTAAATGGTGTAAATTACTAACTGATAGCTTAAGTTATCAATGAAAAAACTTCTTTATAAGGGACACATTGTATATTTTTTGATAATTGAAAATAAATTAAAATTACCTTTATTGCACGCTCAATATTTTTGCTTGAATCTCGAAAAGTTTCCAAGTTTTGAACTATGTATTGGACTTTCGAAGGCACTACCATAATACTAGGTAGCTGTCAAATTTTGATTTTGGCTGTAAATACGCCATTGATTAGTTTAATCTGGCAAATAAATTTCGTTATGTAAGGAGGCAATTGTAGAGATAATAACGACTTACGTATCCGAATGTTGGCAGTTATCAATCAAGAACAGAAAAAGAATTAACACAGTTGAAATGGAGATGAATAGAGATTAGAGATCGAAAGAATAGAAACTAGACGATATGGCATGTTAAAGTAATGAGGATAGAAAACACTAGGTGACAAAAAATAGCTCTTAGATATGCACCGGGTAGAAGAAGAAAGGCAGTGGCAATGATAGGCGATAGAAAAGGATGGAAATTGAGAAAATAATATTCTTGGCAATCTGATTGCTGTAGAGGTTGTATTATTATTATTATTATTTAATTGCTCCTAAAAAGCACTATTTCTTGTAAATTATACAGTTGTTGGTCGTAGTACAAATTACTAGCTGTATCTTCGTTCTTCCTGGCTTTCATAGAGTAAACTATAATATCCATTTTCCTTTTTGAAAAAACTAAAAATCACAATTCCGGTACCAGGATCTCTTTATTCCTCTTTATTCAAAGAATGCTAGTTCGAAATTGTTTCAAAATTTCAACTGTGCCATATTTTTGGAAAGATAATTTTAAGGATTTAAAAATATAGACACTGTTGAACTATATAGATTTAGATAATAGTCATTAAATTATGTTTTCACAGAAACACAACTTAATGACTTTCTATAACAAAAAAATAACGATTTTTTAACAACACATATTTTCCAAAATCACTCTATAACTCTCGATATTAATTTGCGGTTTTAACAATTAAGGGAGGGTGGGGCCAATCGGTTCACTTAAGCTTGACTAACTTTAACTAAATTTACCCAAATTTACCCCCATTTATAATGTTATATATAGTAAATATAATCATTTATTAAAAAGTATTTAATAAAAAAAACGTTACTGATTAGAACCTATTTTTCTATGAATTAAAATTTGTTTTATTGGTATTTATAAGATTTTCGAAAGCTTTGGTTTTAGTCTACATCCAAAGAATTATTCAAAAAATAACACTTTCAATAAATTAATTATGATTCGGCTATAATAATATGCAATAGCTTTTTTATAATTTGGTACTACGCAAAGGGCTAGAAATGTACAAATAACCAGAATTAATAATTATAATAACGAGAAAGAAACTTTTGGTTAATTTTTGAGGTGGGCCTCCTTGCTCCACACTCCCCTATATTTTTTATGCTCCCTTTAAAATTGTCCAATATGACCCAACCTGTAGAACGATAAGAAAGAAGATTACCTCATAACTATCAAAGTTCTGTTCTATAAAATCAACTTACCACATTCAGCAACAAAAGGATTTTAATTACACCCCCTAATTCAAAAACCCGAACATCCATAGTTATGTAAATTAAACGAAAGGCGCTCTGAATCTTTTATAGTATAATATCACCGAGAACAAGCTTGTTTTACAAAGACTCCTCTGAACATTCTCTCGGCCCTTTGAACCCTGGGGGGTCCGGCGGGCGTATAAGCAAAGGGGGTGTAGGTTTAGCCGGCCACTGTCCAAAGGGTGAATATATGAAGCAAGGGTTGAAAAGTACACCGTTAACGAAAACGGACCTTGTTAGTGAAATTTCACACAATACCCCGTAATTCAACTTGAAACTGTGAAAACAGACAATAGTCTCGGAGACAAAAGAAAATCAAGCTATAGTGTTACGATTCGTCCGCACACTAAATAAATTCGGAGGAGTAGACAATTTCCAAATGCCTACTTGCTGTAAGCGTTTCAGTTTTCCGTCACAATGGCTTTGTCGAGTTTTGTTTCTCGCCGTCTGCGTAGCCTGTTTACGTTAAGGTGCAGATGATTTTTTCGAGTCGATGACGTACGGGCATTGTACATTGTATAGGAATGTTGATATTTGATATTTTTTAATGAGAAAATCGTAATTGCAATAAACATATTTTTGACGAATTGCGTTAATAGATCCCCAACTACCCAACTAACCGTTTTTGTTTTATAAGGAGAATCCACATCCAAAGATACGTTACATAACATTGCTCTTTGATATGTTACGTGTCATAATAATAATAGTAACTAATGATCTTACGTGGTTTGTACATGTATCAAATACTGCGAAGAAAGCAAACTGCGCGTTATTTTTGTTAAAAAAAGATACTAGTCCTAGCATCGCATGCAGACTTTTTACTACTTACATTCACCCCATCCTGAAATTTGCTTCCCCAGTCTGGAACCCATGGCTATTGCGTGACTGTGATTTTCTGGAAAGAGTGGAATGAGCCATTACGCGCTGGCCACTTCAACTAAGACGTATACCTTAAATACTTAGTCTGCCAACATTAAGTCAATGTTGGCTGCGAAAGGATTTCATTCAAATATATAGGTTTGACCAATTTCCATCTGACGTGCCCTTTGGGGTCTCAAGCAATGGTGAACGCCATTTAAATTAAGAAAGGAACAATTCAGGACTTCACATCATCTGCATTTTATAAGTAATAGGCACGCTTTGTTCCTCATATAACTGGTAAATTTTACGCCGTATTATACTTAATAACTTTCATCTACACTCGAGAAAACGTCAGCATCACTTCTTTTTTTCCTCACTGAAATGGAATTATTCGCAATTGTTTTAATTTTCGTCAATGTGGCCGTTTCTTCCAAAGATGCTTGCTTGCTGGCACCACGTTCAATGCTTCTAAGGCTTCCATCTTCAAAAACCTCAAAAATTCGGAGATGTTAAGAATTTTTCTAATAACAGTTTTAAATCTGACAAAATTGCTATTAGCATTTTTGAATTGTTCGCAAACCCTCAGGTATTGAATTTTTTCGTTCCAGCTTTGGCAGTTTTGGAGCAGCGGCGGCGTGCGTAATTATAAACAGCGGCACGCAACTACCAGATATAGGAAATGATGATGGCTTCCCTCCGCATTGGTCCAAAGATTTAAAAATCTTAATGGTACTTATTTACAAAATTGTTACTGTGTTATTATTACGAAAATGTATTATTAAATATTGTAACAAATCAAAGACACACAACACACAACGACTTAATTTAATTTTACCCCTCCTAAAAAGTAAAGCACCCTCTTTTGGAGAAATTTAAAGCTTAATATTGGTAAAAACCTTACAGTTAAAATTATATCTCGTAAATTTTTTTATGCAAATGAAATGCAGAATATTTTTTTTTGAAGAAATATATCTTGAAGTTTCAGGAATATTGCTTCAAATTCGAAAAGACATGACAATGGTCACCATATAAAAGGACGACATATTCATCAGGCTCGCATTTTTAAAACTTATACTTTTATTTGGCCCTTAAAAAACTTACCTACCTACGTCGATTTTTTGAGTTATCAAAAAGGTAAAACCATCGGAACCACTAGGAGAAACGGGAAACCCAATTAGAAACTATTAGTGCACCAATGTCAAATGTCAAAAATGCCATCATAATTTCACTTCTCAGTTGTTATTGATTTGTTCTTCAAAGTAGTTTTCTATCAATATCTAGATGAAGCTTAGAATTAAACTGATCGTGCCTTAAATGTGCAGGTTTAATAGCAGCTCTGGAATATTTGTTAGGTTCTTTAAGATAAGTAAAGGAAACATTATGGATGTCATATTAACAAAGTATTTTGGTATTTATTGGACGTCTTACTAAACGTGTAAGGGCAATACTGTCCTCTTAAAACTATAGAAACTGTTACAAAACCTAAAGTTTCCTATAAACCCATTATAAAATTTCGTTACCTATTAATAAAACCTTAAGCTGCAAATCTAGTT